GCTGCTTAATCCTACATTAGAAATATAAGATCCAGTTCGAAGACTGAATACCACAGAAACTCCACACAAGAGTGGATCGAACAACCAAACCCTAACACCAGCTACGAAAGAGCTAAACCAGCAAGTAAACAAGATGAAACATGCGAGACACAAGATTTATCCCGTTGTTCAGCTCACCACAAAGGTTTGCCTAAGTCCACGTTGTTGAAGAAGCCACAAAAGGTTTGGGCTTGCCACAAAGGCTTGTCTTACCCTTGTTCTCAAATCAAGAGGATGAACTCTTGAAGTGAGAGGTGATTTCTTAGCTCTGAGAATGAGGTTACAAACCTATCAAGGCTGCCGCACGAGTTGACAAGTCTAAGAGCGACGCCTAGCTGGCTAGGAGCAAGCTCCCAAAGTAACAAACCCTAGAACCGCCGGCCAAACGTGAACCAAATGCTCTTAGACTTTGGGAATCAGTGGATCTTCTCTCTAATCGAGTTTTGCTGTCTTTTCTCTCAAGTTTTGATGGTTAGAATCAAGGATTTGCTTGAAGGATGGAGGAGCAACAACGGGGGAGAGAGGTGAACTTTGGTTATGTTCTGTTTCGAGCAGAATGACTGAGTAAAAAAGATGACCGTTGTGGGCTGGGCCTGAAGGGTATAAGTACCCCTTGGGTCCAATGGTCATTAAAGGCGGCTTGATCGCCGCTTTTATGATGGGACACTACTACCGCCTCTAGCCAAAACAGGTAAGTTGAGGTGAAATTTAGCTGGCTGTTTTGACTAGGTGAGAGGATGTAAATCTAAGAATTTGAGCATCTGGTTCAACAGTTGACCAACTGTCCTAAAATCCCTCTTAATAGTACGGCTTTCCCTAAACTCAATTTCAAAACATAAAAGAATTTAAACCTCCTTTGAGCTAGGTCTAGCCACCTTTTATAATTAGGACACCTGCAACCTGTACATCATCCTTATTTTTCGATTCCCTGCTTGTCATCTCCATAAATCTTATTAGTCCTCTAATTTGGTGGTCATCAATGCCAAAACCCACAATAGGACTTGATTGCACTTACACAAATAGTTTGGAAACATTTTATGCCTCCACAAAATTTTATTAGGAAAATCAACTTAATTTAAGATATATGAAGAAGACATTTGCAAAAAGATACCGACGGAGATTTCCATAGGCGATTTCTCATGTGAACTGCATTTGCAAATACCCTTTTTTAGAGATAGTTATTTAAGCCAATCTGTTGACAACAAAAAAATATACTTTTAGGTGAGATTTATGCGAGTCGAAAACGTAGTTGTCTCTGGAAATATATTTGCACAGGCGATTTATAAGTCATGGCAACCCTTAGTATATTGCACTTACGGACTGCCTATCATGCAGTAAATAAACAATGCATAAATTATTTTCTGTGCTCTAAATTATAAAACATTTTGACTTTTCTATATTTTTAGTCATGGCAACCCTTAGTATATTGCACGGTAGGTGGCTCTTACGGACTGCCTATCATGCAGTAAATAAACAATGCATAAATTATTTCCTGTGCTCCAAATTATAAAACATTTTGACTTTTCTAAGTATTTTTAAGTACATAACAAAAACTATGAATCTAGAACGCTAAAATATCTTATAATTTGGGAATGGGGGAGTAGATGCCTACACGGGTAGTCCAACATTCAGCCAAGGCATGGTACATGTCAATGGTGTCGTAGGTTTTCACGTGTAATAAACCAGGTAGCATTTTTTTATGCACGTAGGAGAGATGAAGGTAGAGAAAATATGTCATTATTTCACAAAGTAACCATGTCATAACATAAAATCACTACTACCAAAAATAACTTTCGAAGGAACCAGTTTTTAACATAATAATGCTCTTCAAGTGAGGTCCGACGCGCAAATAAAGCAAATCCTATTTTGCTTTTGGACCACTCTCTTGCAATTGGAAGATGTTTATTTCATTTTCCCCATCCATAACTGTCAATTAAATCAGGCCAAACTATTAGAGGATCTCTTTGCATCCGTTAGTGCCACTCTTTCCAGAGACAGTGACCATATATATATGTTGGGAGACGTTATTCACTTTATATGGCATTCTGATTTCATGACCTTACCTAGGGTATACAATAATAATAAAGGCCTGATGTTGAGTGCATTAGGGGTGGTTACGATAGCATTCTTTTAGCATCTCAATCAGCCACCACAATGTTGATATAAAAATTAAATCGAGGCCAAGATTAGTATTTTTAGAACATCAAAGATTAGTATTTTTAGAGCATTAAAATTCATTCTTTCGCATCATTTGATAAAGTATACTATTTGTATCAGATAACCGAAATCCTTAACCGAATTCGGCCATTCAAATTAATTAATATTACCTAGTAAAATAATTTAACTGGTAGCTAATTAAATTATATATGTCATTCGTGCAACTTCTGGATCGATGATCATGCATAGGGATGCATCATGCTCTCACAACACAAACACCACAAAATGAACAGCTCGATCGTCCACTGCATTTGGCCATTATTACTAGTACTCACTTTGCTATCCTGATATTTTGCATCCCCATCTTGTTATATCCCATTCAAACAAACAGTTAATTAAAGATGTAATATGAGCAGCACCATGGATACGCCCATGTAGTGAAGCAATAGCAAGTGGAACAAAGATTTGATGTTTCCTTTTCGCTCATGATCATGAAGAGGCAACCTATCATTATGGACCTGCTTTTATTTACAATCTTTGGTTTAACAAACGCCACGCACCATGCGAGATGCGGATATCTAAGGCTGAGCTCACTACGTACTGCCTTGGCAGGTCATTCACCTCGTTTATGCTCTGGTCAATGATTTTTTTTGGTTCTCCTTTTCCGGTGTGACAATGGTGTTGATGAATGGTGATGCCGGGGTGCTGCCGGTTACCACCAAACCAGTGAGGTGCCTGGCTGAGTTGGTGACGACAATGACGACAGGGACGCCAAAGGTAAGAATCTTGACTCAAGGTGAGGAAATGTTTAAGATATTTTTATTTGCATGTAGACTCTTGGAACAGAACAGCAACATGTAATTATCAAAAAAGCTATGTAGTCAATTAAGCAAAGTTGGGTAGGCTAAAGCTATGGAATTTGTTAAGTAAAGTTAGGTAGGCGACAATGTCCATTGATAATAAGGTGCTTATGGTGATTTCGCCAATCGAGATCTACCGTCTCACTCTTCTAAAGATACTCACAAGGGTAGGACGTGTGTGCACGTGTACTCATAGGAAGTGGGCGCGTGTATGCAAGTGTCTGTGGTGCTTAACAAAAAATTAAAGTTAGGATAGGAAGAAAAAAGTTTGGAGGTGCAAAATAATTACTAGTCGTAGACATAAAAAATAGACATATTTCACTTTTTTTCACAAAAATTCAATTCCAATCGAGACTTAATAAACTCCAACCATAACTTTGGAAACATGTTTATTTGCCTCAAATTGGAATCTATCCCTCTGTCCCAAAATATAACATTATAACTTTTAAAGTAGGGTAAAGTACATTTGTCAACCTCCAACTGGCATTGAAGTTCGATTTTTAACCTTCAACTATGAAACCGGGTAACCGACACCCTCCAATTGTCAAAACTGGACAAATTTGGTCCTCGACTGGTTTCAAAAACGGGTTTCTATTTTCTAATAATAATAAAAATCTGGTTCGATCTCTAGAAGTTCCTAATTAATTTATTTTAAATTATAAAAATATGAAGCTAGTTCATGTTTTCTTCTAAAAAATGTTATATATATATATATATGTTGATGCTATATTTAAAATTGTTTAGACCTTACTTGTTTTAAATAAATAACAAGCATGACAATGAGCAATAAAGCAACAGGAACATAAATGAACCAATACCAAATACCTATATATAGACCATAAACAAGTAGAGAACATTTTTAGAAAAAGTACTTGTTACATATTTTTTTGATTTAAAATAAATGCCGGCGGGGGATAGCAATGCTACTGTATACATTAATACAGGGCTTCACCTCGAGTTGTTTTTGGCCAAAATCAAGGCGGTGCGCGCGGAGACGAAGGCAACGAACTGTCATGTAAAAGAACGGAAAGCGAACAATTTAATTCCATGCGACATTAAATTCCGTGTGAAATTTAATTCCTTGCGAAATTAAAAACATTTTTAAATATAGCATCAACGTATATATAACATCTTTAGAAAACATGAACTAGTTTCATATTTTTTATAATTTAAAATAAATTAATTACGAACTTCTAGAGATTGAACCGGATTTTTATTATTATTAGAAAATAGAAAACCATTTTTGAAACCAGCTGAGGACCAAATTTGTCCGGTTTTAAAAGTTGGAGGGTGTCTGCTACCCGGTTTCATAGTTGAAGGTTGAAAATCGAACTTCAATACGAGTTGGAGGTTGAAAAATATACTTTACCCTTTATAAAGTATAACGCGGTTAAATACCGTAATATTCACTCTCATAATACAACGAACCCAAGACATGATGTGCTATTACTGCTACGGGTTTTGCAACACTAGGCTACATACCCTTTGGTGTAATAGCCTTTCTAAAACCCGCCCAGTTTTCAAAGAAAGGAAGCCCAACATCTAAACTGGGCCATCAAAACAGGCCCATACAAGCGCATCGGTTGAGCCTAGGACATCAAAACCGGCCCATACAAGCGCATCGGTTGAAGCGGCAACTACCTGTACCTGTCAGGTACTCAAGTTGTTAGGGCGGATTAACTTCCTCTGGCCCACACGTCGGCCACCACGTACATCGTCCGGCTGGCGAGGGACCACGACCACCGCGGCAGCTATCCTCCGGCGCCCACGATTCTGGATTCCGGAATCAGTCCCACGCGATTCGCTTCTCTCGCCAACCCAAGCATCGTAAAATCCCCCACCAAAAAAAATCAAGGGGCCATACAAAGAGCGCGTGCGCAGTGCTGGGAGTAGTAGTAGGTGGGCAGATTGGTCGAACTTCGAAGGGGTTGGAGGTCTTCAGCTATGGCATCAGCGGGAGGTGCAGGACGAGGAGGAGGGAAAGGAGATGGAGGGAAGGGAGACGAGTCGCTGGCTCGCAGGGCGTGGAGGCAGTACCTGCTCCAGCTCCAGCAACATCCGCTCCGCACAAAGGTCTTCGCTTTCGCTCATGTTTTTCGATTTTGTTCGTTCTTTCGGAAGCAGGGAGGGTTCTTGAAGTGGGTTGGTTTGGTTGCCTGCCGCAGATGATCACGGCGGGGTGCCTCGCCGGCGTCAGTGACTCCGTCGCGCAGAAGCTCTCCGGGTACCAGAAGATTGAGAAGCGCAGACTCCTGCTCAAGATGGTAAGGACGCTTACCTTGCATTTAGTTTCTGCTACATACAGATGCAGTCACCGGGGGAACTGGGTCTTTCCTTGTTCATTCATTGGGGGGAATAGATCATTTAGTTATATCAGATTAGGACCAGTTGATTGTGATATACTGATTTGTAACGTATTTGCAATTCCCTAAATCAGGTCAACTGTAATTTCTGATATACTGATATGTAATGTACTGGCAGTTCCCTAAATCAGCTCAACTATAATCTTGCTGTTCTAGGAGTGAGTAGTTCTATCAAACTGGTTCTGGGGAAAATTCTTGGGAGGACGTGGAGGTGCAGTTGAAAGATGTATTGCTTGGATTCTAGTCATTTAGCAACTAATTTCAGTTCATCTGTTGAATTGCAGCAATGTGAATGCCATCTGCTTGGGCTTGGTATTATTGTGCGATTTATGTTGTAGTAAGTTGAACTTGCAGCTAATATGTTGGAGGACGACCAAACTTTTATAGTTTCGTAATGCCGAGTGAAAGCATGAATCGCTAGTGTACGCTACCAAATGAATTGTTGCTACTTATTCAGAATCATGTATAATTATCTGGCCATGTTTTTTTGAAATAAAAATCCACAACCCAATTTTTCTTTTGAGTTATCTGCTAGTTTCCTCTGCCAAATTCTGTAAAGATTATTTTGCAGCCCAATTATGTAGGATCTCTTCTACTAGGATGAGGCTCTTTTCTTTTGGGAAGAGAGTTTCTCACTGTTTTGTATTGTTCTACAAACTTGTGGTCTGAGGTCTCAATTGTCATGCCTTCATAAAGATTTTATGTGGATATTGAGTAGTTGAATCCAAATGAAACTGAAAGACATTTCACAGTTAACTTAAGCTACGGTCTGTACTTTTTTACTTCGCTTCATTGATTGCTGGGAAACAAATGGCACTCCACATACTCTATTCCAATCCACCATGTCTGATGTGCATCAGCTAAAATAGTTTATTCGCAGATGGGCATCTTCTCTATATCCCTCTCTTCTTTTATTTATTATCCTTGCTTGCATGTACCTATCTATTATAATCTGACACCATGTTCTGATGATATGTTCCAGCTCTTTGGTTTTGCATATGGTGGACCATTTGGACATTTCTTATACAAATTTTTGGATTATATCTTCCAAGGGAAGAAGGATACCAAAACCATAGCAAAGAAGGTATATATTTCGTCATTGGCAATTTTGACCATAGCTTTCACTTCTCTCCATGCATGGTATGCATAAATAGTTTATAGTTCTCCTGCAAACTATAAAATCCAGTCCTCCTCAAAAAACTATAAAATCCAGAATTTCAAATGAAATGTCGAGTAAATATTTTGACTTAAGTAACCAACTAATAACTGGGACGAAACAGATACTAGTGTTTAAACTGCAGTAACTCTTGGTCAGAGTAGCGTTCTTTTTGTTGGTTGTAGTAAAAATCCCGAACTTCATTGTGACATTTTAACCATCACATGTCATGATGAATTCCTGGCAATGTTTTTTTTTTCAGAATTCGCATAGATAGCTTGCCCATGAAATTTGTATAGCGTTAGCTTCTTCAAATTAGTAGCCAACTATCTCTTCCCTGCGACTTACTGATGGGATTTGGAGCCTTTTCTTATATAATAAAGGGAGCCTGGGTTGAAGTAAAGTTATACTTGTTAAATATCTTGTCATGCATTTTTCATGTATGATACTCTTTTCAGGTGTTGCTGGAGCAAGTGACATCTTCTCCCTGGAATAATATATTGTTCTTGTTCTATTACGGATATGTTGTTGAGAGTAAGTGTGTAACTTTATTAGTTCTGTTGGCATCACTCTAATACTGAATTTGCATTTGCATCCTCAAAATTTCCTCCCCACCACCCTCACCCTCTTTCCCATTTGTTTTTATAGCTTTGATCACATTGTCAGTCTCCTGAGACATGACAATATCATAAGCATATGTTGTTTGATTATGCAGAAATATGAGATCAGAGCAATGCATCTTGAATGATATGTCCATCTATCAAAATATAGCATCAATGTGGATTCCATGTATCTTAGTCTTACCATACTTCTCCAGTTGATCCATACTTATCCCATCTTTCAATGTAGGGAGGCCTTTGAAGGAGGTGACGACCAGGTTGAAGAAACAATACCCTTCTGTGCAATTGAGCGCTTGGATGGTATGTGTTTTTCTTTCAGAAATGATACTTGTGTTTTGAGTCCCTCTGTGGACCCTTCCTAAATCTGATTGATGTGCAGTTTTGGCCGATAGTTGGTTGGATAAACCAGCAGTACATGCCTTTACAATTCCGAGTGATCTTCCAAAGCTTTGTCGCATGCTGTTGGTAATGTTCTTTTGGCCTGAACATTGTACAAGAACCTTTTCCCCCGATGTACCACTTGCCATACCTATCTCCCTTGTCTCTCTTTTTTGCTTGTGCAGGGGGATATTTATGAACCTTCGTGCGAGGGCCATGTCTCTGAAGCAGGCGTAGATGGTTTAGAAGGAAGAAATAGCAGCATAGCTCCAACCCGGTACCGGATAAAATGAATATCACGGAAGCTGGATGCTATATCTTGTACTGTTCTGCACCAAATCGTTGTTGAATCCATTCAAGTAGTTGGGGTTTTTTTTTCTATTTTTTATCTGTTCATGGTAGTGGTAGTAGTCAGTTTATTTGATCGTCAACGCATGCAAACAGACAGATTATGCTTTTGTGAACTGTGATGGAAGCAAACTGCAGTGAATTCGGCTAGCTCTGAGATCCAGTTCGTTCATTTTTCAGCTATATACATAGTCATGATGAGGTTGTTCCAGCATCCACCGTTCTTGCTGGTAATCAAACCTGTTGCCTGACCAGACGCTCTTTGCAGCTCCATTCAGACTTTAGACAAAATGTATTCAGAATTTCACACTGGGCGACTGGCTCATGGCAATGGCATTCATTATTCCAAGCCATTGCGTCGCCATTCGCCGTGCCCGTGCAGGACCGCCTGAAATTCAAGCCAAGTTTTGTCGTAATACTACAACAGGAAACTAGAACAAGTTTTGTCAGGACACACGCCGGAGCCGAGACCTGAACCGAGTTTTCCGACTGAATCCGGATGCAGCCAGGGCGTCGTCGCTCGTGCCTATGCATACATACATGTAACCTCAGCTTGTTGATTCAGAATCAGAAGGACGATCAGGCGTGTCAAACTTACTCTAATTGGGAATTGGGATCCAACGAGATGGGCCGGCGAATATAATCTCAATCAAAGAATTGTCATTTCACAGTTCGAATAATGAATGAGGATTGTTACTTACAAAAAAGAATCGATGGAATGGAATTTCCTCTTCCTACCTAGAGTCCTAGTATGCACGAACACCTCAATTTGTGCTCGAACTAATTAATCCGCGTTTAGATGGTATATATGCACATCCGCCTGAACTGTGATCAGAAGAGTTTCCCGGCATAGTCCTTGATGTCGTCATCCTTCACCGACGCCGACGCCATCCCTCTGAACTGCCGGAGCTCCGCCGCGTCGCGGCCCAGCAGCAGGGCGACCTTGGTCCGGAACACCTCCCCGTTCTCCCGCCGCTCCACGTCGGCCTCCCCCAGGGCGGCCTCGATGTCCTCCTGCACCTTGCGGTAGAACCCGGCGCAGTTGCGCAGCAGCTCGAACAGCATGCCCAGCTGCGCGCCGTGCTCCACCGTGTTCACCGCCGCCGCCAGCGCGCCGCACGCCGCCGCGGCGCCGGACGCCCACGCGCCGTCGCCGGTCCCGATGAAGGCCGCGGCCACCGCGGCGGTGCCGGCCAGCGCGGGCCCCGCCACGGCGAGGCCGCGGTTGATGGACAGCACCAGCTTCCCCACCGTTAGGTACTGGTGCTCGTCCTTGGCACGGAGCACGCGCAGCAGGCCGCGCATCTCCTCCTCCAGCTCCTGGCTCCACCCGTTGGAGGTGGTGCGGACGCCGCGGCGGCCGAAGCTCCTGGACCGGGTGGTGGTGCTGCTGCTCTTCGGCTGTTGCTGCGGGCGGCGGCGCGGCCACCACCGCGCGGGCTCCACGGCCTTGGGGAACTTCTCCAGCATCCCCGGGAGCAGCGGCAGCGGGTACGCGGCGTCCAGCGCGAGGACCCTGTCCATGGCGTCCTGCACGTCGGCCTGGGTCACCTGCTGCGCCTCGTGCTGGAGCGTGGCGCGGACGTCGCGCTCCAGCTGCCTCCAGAGGCGCGTGGCGTTGCGCTGCTCCTCGGCGAGCTGCGACGGCTGCACCCTGTTGACGGCGGCCATGGTGACGGCGGCCGTGGCGAGGAGGACCCCCGCCGAGGCCTTGAGCGCGGCCACGGTTCCCGGCGCGGCGGGCGCCAGCGCGGCCATCACGGAGGCCGCCAGCGTCAGGGAGTTGGTGGAGTGGAGCAGCAGGTGGTTCCAGTTGTCCCGCTGCCGCCCGATGATGTCGTGCATCTCGGCGCGGTCCGCCGCGGCCTCCGCCACCGCGCGGAGCTTGTCGACCGCCGTGTTGCGGTCGGCGGGGGAGGAGGCGATGCTGCCGCTGGTGGTGGTCACGTCGATCCAGTCCAGCTTGAGGCCGCCGTCCGCCGGGATGGAGGACGCGGTTGTTGTCTGGACACCAGACGGCACGCGCAGGCCGGCGCGGCAGGGGGCGGCGGTGGTCCGGCGCGGCCGCGTCGTGAGTGACGAGGACGAGGACGAGGAGGTGGAAGCCGTCAGGAAGAGGCGCTGTGCCTGAAGAGCCGCCGCCATGGCCGATTTGGATCAGGTGTCCGTGTGGATTTGGATGGGCGACGACTGATGAGAATGTGAGAGCTGGGTCGGTGGCAGTGGGTTGATGAGAGCTGGGAGCGAGGGGCGAGGCTATTTATAGGAGGAGTGGAGAGGAGACGGCGCGGTGGGTGGAAACGTTTGACCGGTGGGCTGGGTGAATCCCCGAGATGGGATCGCGTCCAAGCTTGGAGGGGGGAGGGAGACCGTTTCTGGCAGGTGACCCAGGCCGGCAACCTGGTCCGGTCCGTACACCCGTCCGCGGCTCCGCGTTGTCTGACTCCATCGTACCGTACGTGAGTGCGCCGCTTGCTAGGCCCCTGTTTAGATTGCAAATTTTTACAACATACATATTGTAGCCTGTTTCGTTTGTATTTAACAAACTTTGTCCGATCATAGACTAACTAGGCTCAAAAGATCTGTCTCGTGATTTACAACCAAACTGTGTAATTAGTTATTTTTTTTACCTACATTTAATGCTCCATGCGTCCAAAAATTGATGTGATGAAGAGAGAGTGAAAAAACTTGGAATTTGGAGGTGATCTAAACAAGGCATAGGCCTCGTTCACTTTGCAAAAAAATTGAACCCGATGAATAATACCACTTTCGTCTTATTTGACAAATATTGTCCAATCGTGGACCAACTAGGCTCAAAAGATTCATCTCGTGATTTTCAACTAAACTGTGTAATTAGTTATTTTTTTTACCTACATTTAATACTCCATGCAAACGGCTAAAAATTGATGTGATAGAGAGAGAGTGAAAAAACTTAGAATTTGGATGGCATCTAAACAAGGCGCTAGCTGGCTCTCCTCCGTTCCATTTTCATTCCACTTTGTAGTGAGTACATCATGCCATCATCCATAACACAAGCAGGTTTCGCTTCAAAAGTGCCTAGGATTCTGTTGGAATTTTAGTTAAATTGTAAAACGCCTGCACGGTATTCTTTTTAATGTATGTAAACTGAGAGGGCCGTCTTGTGTTATATATTTACATTATATAGTAGTGGCATATTTGGGAACTTTAGTTAAAAATATTTACAGGATTGTTGTCACTTTAGGTTATTTTTCACACTAGCGAATTGTAACACACCTGGTGTTACGAGCTTGCTTAGCACCGAGATTGAGGCCCAAGAGGGATGAGCCAAACAAGTTTTTGGGTTTTAAAAATTTATAACGCATATGAAATGTTAAACGAATTCTATGTGACTCATTTTGTGGCCTCAGATAAATATCCAAGTTAACTTACTTAGTGCGTAAAGGTGCTAATGAAAATCCTAACGAGAAAAATAGGATAAGTCGTTTTAATTGTTTGGCACGAAAAACAGTTTTTATAAACAAAAATAAAATACGACTTGTATATAGTACTTAAATAAAATTCGAAGTGTAAGTTTAGTAGATGAAAATGCAACTTTTGGTTCAGTAAATAAATATTGCTAACCGGTATTTTTGGAAACTCAAAAATTGAGTTTGAAATTAAAATCAGCCATTATCGTTAAAACGACAAAGTCTGGATTTAGATATAAAGTACCATTTTTGGCGAACTATTTTGTACAAAATAACTAAGTAGTGCCCTAATGTTTTGTTCCTACGGTTTGGTATGAGGCATGAGCTATTGCATGAGATATTTGTTGGTTGAAGTTGATAAGCTTTAGGTCTTGTAAAAATGGTGGCAAAAGTGTTAATGGCTGTTAATCAAACTCTTACCCTAGAATTTGGTTAAGTCCAAAAGTAGTGGACATTGTCATTTTAGCAATTTAAATTGCTAATGTTGCTAAACATAGCTGTAATGTTTTTGCTCTATGGTTTGGACCAAACATGGTTGTAAAGCATAGGTTAGTTGTTAGCTGTGTTAGTGTTTGTTTTGGGCACTGAAAATTTGCTTTACGTTTGCTAGAAATCTTGTTGCGTGGTCGGTTCTTGCTCTGGCTTTGTCTCTGGCAAAGCCGGTTTGGCTTCCCTCTACCTCCCTCTCTAAGCCATCTAGGAACATGTTTGTTGCCTTCCTTAGTAGCCCTAAGTATCTTCTCGAGCTTGGTTGAAATGGTTGAGTAGTGTCTGAGCTAGTTGAAGTTTTTAGCGCGCTTTGAAATTCGTGCACAGCATTAGTTTGGCCGTTCGGCCCTGTGGCCGCGGTCACCGCGCCCTTGCCCTGGTGCCGCTGCGTTCGGCCACGCTGTGCGTCAGCTGTGCCGCGCAAGGGCCGGCTGCAGCTGTTCCGTGCGCCAGCGTTGGTCGCCCCTGGCTGGCTGCTGCCTGGCCGACGCCGTCGCTGCTGCCATGTCGCCCCAGTGCTGTCCCTCTTTGTCTGTGCCGATGCAATCACCGCCATGCCGTCGCCGCCGCGTGTGCATGCGAGGCTGTTGGCCGATGCTGCTTCGTTGTTGTCGTTTGCAGCCCACCAAGCCACTGTGCCATGTGCCCAACCTGCTGAGGCCAAGGCCGAGCTATGCCAAGGTCTGGCCCCTCTCTCTTGCCCCTTCCGCCGACGCAAGCTATCCGTCCAAGGAGAGCAAGCAGCCGCTGTGCGTTTCCCTGTCCGCGCTCTGTCCCTTCCATGCGTGCTCATTTATGGAGACCGCCGAGCCGATTGGACTCGTCATGCGCTACCACAGTCAGTAAGGCCGACAGGCCGACGTCCCCTCACAAGCGCAAATTCAGAATTCGCGCGCCTCGGTCCACTAGAGCTCGATTCGTCGCATCCACATCCTCGCCATTAAGTCTCCT